TCTATCTATCTATCTGTCTGTCTGTCTGTCTGTCTGTCTGTCTGTCTGTCTGTCTGTCTGTCTGTCCACCTATCTATCTATCTATCTATCTATCTATCTATCTATCTATCTATCTATCTATCTATCTATCTATCTATCTATCTATCTATCTATCTATCTATCTATCTATCTATCTATCTATCTGTCTGTCTGTCTGTCTGTCTGTCTGTCCACCTATCTATCTATCTATCTATCTATCTATCTATCTATCTATCTATCTATCTATCTATCTATCTATCTATCTATCTATCTATCTATCTATCTATCTATCTATCTATCTATCTATCTATCTATCTGTCTGTCTGTCTGTCTGTCTGTCCACCTATCTATCTATCTATCTATCTATCTATCTATCTATCTATCTATCTATCTATCTATCTATCTATCTATCTATCTATCTATCTGTCTGTCTGTCTGTCTGTCTGTCTGTCTGTCTGTCTGTCTGTCCACCTATCTATCTATCTATCTATCTATCTATCTATCTATCTATCTATCTATCTATCTATCTATCTATCTATCTATCTATCTATCTCTGTCTACCTATCTACCAGTCTGTCTATCAATCTGTCTGTCTGTCCACCTATCTATCTATCTATCTATCTATCTATCTATCTATCTATCTATCTATCTATCTATCTGTCTGTCTGTCTGTCTGTCTGTCTGTCTGTCTGTCTGTCCGTCCGTCCGTCCGTCCGTCCGTCCGTCCGTCCGTCCGTCCGTCCGTCCGTCCATCCATCCATCCATCCATCCATCTATCTATCTATCTATCCGTCCAACCATCCATCCATTTGTCTTTGTTAAAATGAGATCCAAAGGCACTCATGAATTACACACATTATTTTCTACATAAAAGGGAATGTCCAATTCAAAACCTTTTTTCTAATTTTGGCTTTGAATATTTTTGCTAAACAGATCATTTGTTACAATTTGTCTTGTTTCTTAGGACCAGTAATGGAAAGAGTACTATAATCAATGCCATGCTGAGGGAGCGGGTTCTGCCCAGTGGAATCGGCCACACCACTAACTGCTTTCTGAGTGTGGAGGGCACAGATGGAGAACAAGCCTACCTGACCACTGAAGACTCGGAGGAGAGGAAGGGTATTGAGGTAAGACTCAAACAGTACGAAAAAAGAAGTTGAAAAATGAATTACAAGTCATTTACAGTTTTTCTCAATTGCTTTGGCACATTTTTCAACAGTCTTAACATTGTCTAAACCCTGAGTGCAAATCTCAGAATACTGTGTGTCTCTCCTGTTGAAGACAGTCAATCATCTGGCTCACGCTCTGCATATGAACAGGAACCAGGACTCAGGCTGTCTGGTTCGAGTGTTTTGGCCTAAAACCAAGTGTGTCCTGCTGAGAGATGACCTGGTCTTGATGGACAGGTATGAACACCTTCACGCACGAGTCGCACGACTTTAGGGCTGTCAAAGCTGAACTTATTTCAATTGTAACAACTACTCTTTTTTTTGAAGCTACATTAAAGAAATTGAGAGACCACAAAACAACTTTCAGAGATTCATGTGTATTTAGAATAAATGTATATGACAACAGGTATGAATAATTATTGTTATACACTGGGGATATGAAATGATCAGCAGTCAACTCATTAATGATCACTTTTCGACAGAAATAAACATTTGATAAGTGTCTTTCTCATTGAATCCAGTATTTATAGCAAGCAAAAAAGATACCATCAGTCCTTAAGTGGATCACATGAAAGATCAATTTCAGCAAACAGTTCATCAATGGTTGACCACGGAATCAGTAGGAAAGTGGATGGAAAAAGTCTGCGGATATGAGGATGGATTGTCCAGGTCCTGTTTTGATGACTTAAAGTGTATACCAAAAACCCTATCTGAGGTATAAGAACAAAAAGGTTCCTCAAATAAGGGCATCAACAAACAACAGCGCAGTGAAGAAGCCTTTCCATGTGCTAGGCATCATACTTCCTGCCTACTGCTTCTTCTCTACCTCCTTTTAAGCAGATTGGAGACTTTCTACCTAGATCGCCCTCTAATGGGTGAGATAGCTACTACAGGTAGAATATTCAAATAGTAACAGGAAAACTGTTACACAATGACACACACACACAAACAAACACACATGCATGCATGCACACAATTTCAATTCAATGCATTTCTATAGCGCTTTTACAATGTAGACTGTGTCAAAGCAGCTTATCATAGAAGTTCTTGTAAATTGAAATAGCGTTCGCTCAAAAAAAAAAAAAAACGAAATACGGCAATACGTACCTCCGGCCACATAAATAGTGGTATCCAGAAACGTCTGCGGGGCTATGTTTTCAGAATGGGCTTGGGTTGGTTTTATAGGACTTTACTTATGATTTTTATACTGTAGAGCAGTGGTTCTCAAACTGTGGTACGTGTACCACTAGTGGTACGCAGGCTTCCTTCTAGTGGTACGCGGAGGAATGAAATATGTCATGTACATGCTACACGCATTTCAAAATTTATCAAAAATGATGTATATAATATGTCATATATGACATATATCCTATATTTCTGATGTAATCTGCCACGTTTTTTTAACTGTGTAGAGTTGTAGCTGCTTTACTGGGCGTACTGCGCTACTGTATTTCAATACTTCTCATTTTGGTGGTACTTGGAGAGACTATTTTTTTCTGAGGTGGTACTTGATGAAAAACGTTTGAGAACCACTGCTGTAGAGAATGTATATTCTTTTCTCTTCCCTCAAACTTACACTTAAACCCAAGCATCACACAAAACATTCAGCAGCTTTACATTTCCAAAATACTTGTGAATGATTTATGAGCTTGTTTACTCCAGTATATGCCAATGCAGGCCCCCACAGTGAGGTACACAAGTGCATTTCTCATTTCCAAACAATTTTGCCTACTTCTACTACTTCTGTTGTGAAGAAAAAATACATACTTTTAACTTTTAAACATGTAACAGAAGAGTATGCAAGCTTTGGGACATACTACTTTATTTATGGCCCATTATAAAGCACACACACACACACACTGATTGATTTGTGAGTGCTGCATTAGAGGCATCCTGGGTGGTTAACAGCCTGTTTAGTTTATAGGAAAACCTAAGCACATGTTTCATTTATGATTCTGTTTGCTGAAACCAAAAAACCGCCTGACGTGAGATTAGCAGCGAAACATGATGTGTGGTTTTCTTCAAGTCTGAAAGACTCTCCTCACTTTGTAGTCCAGGAATAGACGTCACATCAGAGCTGGACAGCTGGATCGACAAGTTCTGTTTAGACGCTGATGTGTTTGTGCTTGTGGCGAACTCTGAGTCTACCATCATGAACACTGTGAGTTTACAAAACACTTCATTATTGTCTATACAGTTGAAGTCAGAATTATTAGCCCCCCCTGAATTATTAGCGCCCCTGTTTATTTTTTTCCCCCAATTTCTGTTTAATGGAGGGAAGATTGTTTCAGCACATTTCTAAGCATAATAGTTTTAAAAACTTATTTCTAATAACTGATTTATTTTATCTTGCACATGATGACAGTAAATATTTTACTTAACATTTTTCAAGACAATTCTATACAGCTCAAAGTGACATTTAAAGGCTTAACTAGGTTAATAAGGTGAACTGGGCAGGTGAGGGTAATTAGGCAAGTTATTGTAAAACAATGGTATGTTCTGTAGACTAAAATGGTTGTTCTGTAGTCTAAAATGGTGTTTAAAAAAAGTTTTCTTCTTCTCCAGAAGAAAAAAATATTATCAGATATATTGTTAAAATTTCCTTACTTTGTTAAAAATTATTTGGGAAATATTTAAAAAGAAAAGAACAAAAAATCAAAAGGGGGCTAATAATTCTGACTTCAGCTGTATATATTGCTGATCGTAAGTCGCTTGAGACTTTTATTATGTCACTTTGGACAAAAGCATCTGATAATTGCAAATGTAAAAGTATATCAAACTGAAAAATCATATCTAATGGTTTTAATGTAAAGTATTTTAATCTATTCGTTTTTTGAAACATCTCTTATTGAATTATAAAGTTGTTAATATTGTGTAATATATTTTACCTTTATTAATCTTTCCATGAAATAGCCCTGAATTGCAGATATGGCAATAAATAAACAAACAAACATACATACATTAAAAAAATGGTATCATATTTGTTAGTAGACAGTTTATTTATTTTTATTTTTTAATGTTTGTTATTGAATATTTAACTGTGTATGCTCATTGTGCAATGATGGAATGAATGTATTTATATGCCTTTGAAAACACTGCATACACAAAAAAAGTTTGTGTTTATATGCAAGTTTGTGTTTATATTAAAGTTTGTGTTTATATGCAAGTTTGTGTTTATATTAAAGTTTGTGTTTATATGCATTAATAATTGTTAACATTGTAAAGTGTAATTCTGAGCAAATAAACATCACATTTTAACCCAGTGTAACCCACTGGTCCTATTGCATGCAACCCAGTCTGAGCTAGGAATGAACCTGTGATTCTTTGCATGGGAGTCAATTGCTTTAACAAGAAGGCTAAAGACCATAGCCTCTAGCCTCTGTCACTAGAGTATCTTAATGCTGTGTTCACACCAGTTATTATTGTGTAATATGTTTTATCTTTATTAATCTTTCCATGAAATAGCCCTGAATTGCAGATATG